AATACCTACTTTGAGAACCTATATGCCAATAAGATGGAAAACACAGAAGAAATGGACAGATTCCTAGATATGTATGAATTACCAAAGTTGAATGAAGAAAACCTAAAAATTATGATCAACCCTACATTTATCAATGAAATTAAAAACATAATTAAAAACTTACCAACTAAGAAAAGTCCAGAGCTAATGGCTCCACCACTGAATTCTACAAGACATTTAGAGAGGAACTACTGCCCCTACTGTTTAAACTCTTTAATGAAATGGAAAAGGAAGCAATACTCCCGAATTCATTCCTGGAAGCAAACATCACCTTGATCCTCAAAGCAGAGAAAGACCCAACCAAAAAAGAGAACTATAGGCCAATCTCACTAATGAACATAGATGCAAAAATTCCTAATAAGATACTGGCAAATAGAATGCAGAAGATCATCAAGAAGATCATACACTCTGACCAAGCAGGATTCATCCCAGGGATGCAGGGATGGTTCAACATATGCAAATCAATAAATGTAATACAATGTATCAATAGAGCCAAGGACAAAATCCATATGATTATCTCCACAAATGGAGAAAAAGCATTTGACAAAAATCCAAGATGCATTTATGAAAAAAACTCTACACAAAATTGGAATAGACGGTCTCTACCTTAATCTGATAAAAGCCATCTATAAAAAGCCAACAGTCAATATCAAGCTAAATGGTCAAAAACTGAAAACTTTCACATTAAATTTAGGAACAAAATAAAGATGTCCACTATCGCCACTCCTGTTCAATATAGTTTTGGAAACAGCCACAGCAATTAGACAAGAGAACGAAATAAAAGGAATAAAGATAGGAAATGAAGAAGTCAAGTTGTCATTTTTTGTAGATGACATGATACTCTATATAGAAGACCCTAAGAACTCCACCAAAACTCTTCTAGACTTAATAACCAAATTCAGTAAAGTAGATGGATATAAGGTCAATACACAAAAATCAATAGCTTTCCTCTTCATGAACAACAGACTCAATGAGAGAGAAAGATGGTAAACAATTCCTTTCACAATAGCATCCAAGAAACTGAAGTGCCTAGGAATCAACCTAACAAAAGAAATCAAAGACCTCTTCTCTGAAAACCATAGCATTCTGAAAAGAGAGATTGAAGATGATATCAGAAAATGGAAAGACATCCCCCTGCTCCCATGTAGTAAGAATCAAAATAGTGAAAATGGCCATACTTCCAAAACTGCTATATAGATTCAATTCAATCCCAATTGATATCCCAGCATCATGCTTCACGTACCTTGAGAAAACAATCCAAAAATTCATTTGGAACAAGAAGAGACCTAGAAGAGCAAAAGCAATTCTAGTCAACAGAGACATGGTAGGGGGTATCACAATCCCCAACTTGAAACCATACTACAAAGCTACTGTGATAAAAACTGCATGGTACTGGCAAAGAAACAGACCTGAGGACCAGTGGAACAGACTAGAAGATGCAGAAACAACTCCAGAAACACTCAGTCACTTCATCTTTGACAAAGGAGACAAACACCCTCACTGCAGGAAAGATAGCCTCTTTAATAAATGGTGCTGGAAAAATTGGG